GGGTCCTAACAAAGAGTGAGACAGGGTCACGGTCTCACCTTGTCACCAGGGCTGCAGCTTCCCAGCTGTCACTGCACTCCAAAGGTAGCTGCCCATATTGACAGGCAAATAAGCAGCCAGGTCTAGAGAGTGGGAATCAAGCCTACACTGCCATCACCTCCTAAAGACAGAGGCAGGAGCCAGGCCATTAATCACATCCAGAGCCTTCCACGGCTGCATCTGACACTCTTTGGCATTGCCTCTTCCTCCTGCAATGGCAGTCTTCCCTTCTCTGACTTTCTACTTAGAATCTTTGGGACTGGGAAAGAGCAGAGTCTCCATCCTCCATCCCTGAATTCTGTAGACAGCCAGGGTCCTTGGGACAGCACCCAGGTCTGTGTTGGCCTGGAGAGATCCTCTGGGCAGGGCTGACAGCAAGCATTCCAGGAAGACTGGACTGCTGGTGGGGCCGTGGGTGGGAGGGGTGCACCAATGCACGTTTCCAAGTCCACCACCTGCCTCCTCCATAAGCTTCACAAAGACAGAGCCTTCACCCCTCCCATCCTCAGTGTTACCTACAGAGCCTGTAACTGGGGCATGGGGTAGTAAGAGGGTCAACAAATATTTCCTGAATGAGAAAGTGTTAACGGAGTTCTATACTCAGCTCTGCCATCCAGTGCCTTTGGAAAACTGTTTTTCCTTCTGGAGACTCATTTTTCTCACCTAGAAAATTCCTTGAGGCTTTCTTCTAGTCCTAACCACCTAGAGTTAGTGTAACACCTGGGTACTCTGTTAAAAAATGGCCTCAGGATGCAAAAGGAGACATTTAGGGGTAGTCACTTAATCCACCTGGAGCTCACGACCACTAACACCTCCCTTTGAAACCACTATGGTTACGTAAGCAGGGAAGCCCTAGCATGGCACAGCCGTGCAGACAGAGCCCCAGACCTGGGCATCAGGCAGCAGCACTTCTGAGCCCAAAGAGCCATGCTGCCACTGTTCACTGTGAGCTATAAGCCAAGTGCTGTGCTGAGTGCTTCATAAGCATCTGATTGCTCATGGGATGCTGGCACTAGTTTAGACCCATTCGACAGATGAATTAATGAGAGCCCAGAAAGAAGTAAACTCCCTGAGGTCACACAGAGAGGGATCCAGGGGCCAGGCCACTTTGATATTCCAGATAGCAGCAGGAGTAGAAGTGAAGGCTTGGATGGTGCTTACTACCTTGGTACTGGGGTGATCACACTGCCTTTGTGATACTGGGACCAACTGTGGCACTTCTAGAATCATCTTGCAGAGAAGAGTATCAGATTAAGTGAGTACCTTCTGCTCCACACCTGCTGGGTTACAGGTGGATTTTAGAGGCAGGGGGATGCTTGTCATCTTCTAGGGTGTTAAATTGACTTTCAATGAGCATCTTCAGGGTTCCTGCTTACTGCTGAACAATGAGGAAAGCTTTGCTCTTGGTACTTGGACTTAACCTTTTGGATGTATGGTTTGCACATCACTGAAGAATAACGGCAGGTTTCTTCCTTTACGAAACATACTTCGTAAAATAAACCTCCTATAAATTTTTAACAGGGAACTCACAGGGTAATTTTATTTTTATTTTTCTTCATAGCACTTCTCACTTTCTGACAGTATATTAATTTTCTTATTGTCTGTCTCCCCAGCAGAAAGGCAGGCTGATTCTTCCTGCCTACCTCTGGATCCCTGACTTGGGGAATGCCGCCGGCACTTAGGAGGCACGCAACAATTATTGGCCGAGTGAGTGGTATCACTGGCACATGAAGAGAAGCTCACAGAAACTCAGAGGTTCCAGGCCCTCAAATGTCCATGAAAGGCCAGTGGCAGGAAGGAAATGCAGGTCTGTCTCTGACTTCCTTAACTGCCGTTTGGGGGGACCAAGTGGAAAGCCTGGGATGTATTTATCTGATCATCACAAGAATAACTACCATTATTAATAAATTAATTTACTACCTATTTTTGCATGGGCTGAATTATGACCCTTTAAAATTCATATGTTGAAGTCCTAAGCTCTTGTACTTAGAATAGTATTGGGAGATAGAACCTTTAAAGGCGTGATTAAAACGAGGTGGGCCCCGATCCAATATGACTGGTATCCTTATAAGAGGAAATTTGGACACACACAGGGACACCAGAGGTGCCTGTGTGAAGCAAAACCACACAAGGACATGGTAAGAAGGTGGCCGCCATCTACCAGCCTGTAGGGAGAATGGGGACCAAAGATCCCATTCTTGGCAAGGGGAAACACCCCCAGAAAAAGGGAGAAACAAGCTGAGCAAGGCAGAATAAAAACAGTTTAGCTAGTTTTACTTTTAAACCAGCAGCTAAATTACTTATCTGAGCAGTTCCTCCTTGTATTAGAAACCTGGCCTCTAAGGGACACAGCTTGGAAACACCCCTGCTGGGTCCGTAAACTCTCTGGAGAAGTAATGGCCTGGGAAGGAACATTAACCAGGCTGTCGCCTACCCAGTTAACAGTCAAAGCAAATACCCATTGTGGGGATTTGTATTATGGCCAGGATCAAGGGAACAGCTCGAGCCCTGAAATATGGGCAAGGGTTTGTCCCCTTATCATAGAGCAAGGTGCCTCTGGGTTGGAGATAAGAGGAAAATTCCTCTTATCCACCAATTCTTCAGAGGAGATTGACGTGCCGTGGTGTCTACTCCACACATAAACTATAGGGGTTTAACCTTCCCTAAGAAATCTGTGTGTGTGTGTGACCACAGACAGGAGGCTGCCCCCACACAAGGCTCAAGTTTTAAATTTCTTAAGGCTGCTCAGACCCTTAAAATTAATGACTATAGATAGAATAAGAACTAACAGGCTTACTCAGAGAAACTGTTGATGTTTTTGTTCCCTTCCTCAGCTTACCTTCTGGACTACTAAATGAGATAATAGCCTTCAATAAAAGCTGAGGGGAACAGACACTCAGGGCCATTCGCTGGAACCCCCAAACTAGTGGTGGTCCCCTGCGTTTCCCACCGTTGAAAACTCTATTCTGCACGTCCTGTCTTTTTATCTCTTGCTGCTTCTAATTCTACTTTTCTTTAGTCAATGGCTTCCAGTTGCACACGTCTTAAAGGACCCTGCCTCTGGAGTGGGACCCTGGCACCAGCCAAGGACTGGGGCCTCATAAGTTACCCCACCAACACTTGGTTTCTGGTTTCCTGTGTCCAGACCATGAGGAAATGCACTTCTCTTGTTTAGCCCATCCAGGCTGGAGGATTTTATTATGGCATCTCCAGCAAACTAATATATAGTTTGCTAGAATCTTCCTTTCCCAAATCTCACTAGATTCTAGTAATTGTTATTCCCAATGCTGAGATGGGAAACTGAGGCCCAGTGAGGACAGTGGCGTGTCTGAGGCTCTAAGACTCTATGGGTTCCTCTGCAGGAAACTTTAGGAGATCCTGGCACATGAGCGTGAGTCTTCTCCCAGGCCAACCCCACACCCAAGCTTCTGGGGGATGCATTCTCCTTGCCAGGGCCTTCGACTCTTTGCAGAGGTCCCACCTGCTTCCCCCAGGTGCCCCAGCTCTTTGTGGTGTGCAGGGCCACTCCTGTGTATGGCAGGCTGGGGTGGGTGCTATTCAAACAGCATCTGCCTGCAGACTCACAAGCAGAAGAGTGTCTCCGCATGGGAGATGACAGAGCCCGCTGTCCCACCACCTCACTGCCTCAGAGAGGCAGGAAGACAGTGAGTTCTTCCAGAGAGGGGCTCCAGTGAATTTCCCTCCCACCTCATCCCCCTTCCTCCACATTGTGACCTGCAGCCTCTGGTGATGATGTTCAGAGCTGAGATCGCCTCTTTTTGGAGTGAGCTCTCATCAGTTGTCATGAGTTGAATTGTATGCCCACTCCCTCCACCAAAGAGAGAGAGAGAGAGAGGTTGAAGTTTTAATGCCTAGTACCTCAGAAAGTGACCTTATTTGCAGACAGAGTCCTTACAGAGGTAATCAAGCAAACATAAGTTCATTAGTATGGGCCTTTATCTAATAGAAAAAGGAGAAATACAGACATAGACCCAAGAACAACGGTCTGAAGAGACCAGTGGAGAGAGGCAATCTTCTGACTAAGGACAGAGGCCCTCACAGCTCTCAGAAGAAAATAACCCTGCTGACTCCTTGATTTTTGGACTTCAATCTTCTAGAACTATGAAACAATAAATGTCTTTTGTTTAAACCACCGTGTCTGTATTTCGTCACAACAGCTTTATCAAACTATACACCAGGGACCCAAACAGGAATTCCCTCCCACTGGTGAAAGCTACGATTGGCTACATCAGAGGGGTCCAGGGGTGGAGGCACATCTGGGGTAGGAGATGGAGTTGACACCAGGGGGAATCTACCCAGAGGCAGTTGGCTACCTAAATATGGGCATATATACACTAGTTGTGCCTTTGTAAAAAGAGGTTAAGTTGAAGGTTCTTAAACATTGCTATGGGTGCACATTGGTAGGGATGCATGTATGTCTGGGTGTCACATGCATTCGGATGCCTGGACTCATTTATTTGTTCATTGGATCGTTCATTCATTCATCAAGGTTTCTTGCATGCTAGCAAGAAACATATACACACAATACATATGGATGAATAAATAAACAAGGGAAATATGATGGCTCAAGTATGGGGATTAAGGGAGCATGGAGAAGGAGACTTGATTTCAGTTTGCTATATCAGGGAAGACTTCCTGGAGGAGGTAGCACTTGAGCTGAAACTGGCAGATGAAGGGGAAGAGGAAGGTTGTGGTATGTAGACGTGGAGGGAGAGAAATAGCCACATACACCCCAACCTACAAATGGTTTGGGTAGTTCTGTTCTTTGGAAAAGTTCCACCCCTAGCTATGCCCTATCAACTTCCCAGAGCCCCAGTTTGCTCTGATATAGACTAATCCCATCTCCATGGAAGGGGCAATGGCTTTTTGATGAGCTGAGGGAGCCCCTCCAAGAAGCAGATAGCATGGTCATAGAACAGAGAGGAGGCACAGATGCCAGGGAGCCAACACTTTATTTTGTTCAGACCAAGCATGCGGGAAGCCCAGTGATCCCATGGGATCTGCCTCTGTGGGCCCATCTTTCCTCTTGCTGGCAGCCTTGCTGGCTGGCTCCAGGCTGAGGGCCCATGGGAGACCTGGTCAGTCTCTCTCCAAACAATTGTGGAGTCAGAAGTCTTCAAGGGCAGCTGCATCTCAGGAGGCTGAAAGCAAATGTAGATCAGAGTTGATGAATGGGAAGAAGATGAGTATGTTTTGATGGAGAGAATGAGAGAGGTGGCATTCTGTATTCTCAGGTGGCATAACTGCCACGGCTTTGCCTAGAGGAATGGTATAGGTGGCAAAGGAAGCAAGTGGAGGAAAAATTGGGACAGGATTTTCCAAAATTTCCAAGCTTGGGGTGACCTGGCATTCACGGCATCCTCTGGGTGCCACACTCTGCTAGAAATCTCTTGGATGCTCATGTAACCCGCAGTGTCACTTAAGGTAGTCAGCGATATTACTATCCCCGTTTTCCGCTGAGGATATAGAGATTCAGCAATACTGCATGACTTGCCCAAGTCTCACAGCAGGAAGAACTGAGCTCTGGGGGCTTGTTTGGTTTGAAAGCCCCCCTACATTTACATCAGGGGGCTGGAGCTGGATACATAGCACATAGATCAAAACTAGCATCCTCAGACCTCAGAAAAGAATCTTGGTCAGGGAGAGAAGGGGACTTGAGTTAAAAAAAAAAAAAAGAACAGCAGAGACAAGATGTTCCATGATGACGTATGCTAAGGACTCTTCCTCTTATGGACGTGTGCCCTTTACTTGGCCTTTGAAACTGCTTTCCGTATCCCTGGGAGTATAATAATGTAAATGAATATCAGATCTTTACTCAGTAATTGAGAGCAGAGAGAAGGCCATGTTAAGTCAAATTAGTTTGCTCTGCTATAGCCCAAGCCCATCTCCATGGAAGGGGCAATGTCTTTTTGATGGGCTGAGGGAGCCTCTCAAAGAAGCAGGTCTTCAGAAGTAGAGGATGTGTGGCTCGTTTGAGTCAAGGTGGCCTGGGGGTTGTGACAAGACACACACTGGAGCAACCACGTGTGATTGCGGGACCACCTGAGCCTGGAGCTATAGAGAGTCCTAAGATTCAGTGACTAGGGGATTTACAAGGGCAGTGGCCCATTATGATTGCACTCACAACGATGGCTGGAGTCAGTAGTCCCAAGGAAAATATTATAGCTAAATGTACGGATTCTAGAGTTTTGAATCCCAGATCTGCCTTGATAATTTTGTACAAACAATTTAACACATTTGAACTTTAGTTTCTCATACTGTAAAGTAGGAATAAATGATAGAAAGCATGGGTTGGGTTACGAAGAGTATTAAAGGGCTGCCTGGCATATTTGCTCAATATGTGTAGCATATTATTAGCAATGAATTCCCCTTCCAACCCATATTCCGAGACATGCGGGGATTAGAGCTAGGAGGAGGAGGGAGGGAAGAGAGAAGTTACTTCTCCAAGATCTTTGCACCTTCACCCCCCCACCTAGGGCCTCAGTTTCACTCTTTAGGAAATGCAAGAATTGGACTCCTCACTGTTCTGTGAGTCGCCACCCCTTTGGGGGGCTCCTGCATATCAGATATTTACATTACGATTCATAACAGTAGCAAAATTATAGTTATGAAGTAACAACGAAAATAATTTTATGGTTGGGGGTCACCACAACATGAGGAATTGGATTAAAGGGACACGGCATTAGGAAGGTGGAGAACCACTGTGCTAGACCCTCTTGTCTTCTGATGAGGCTGCATTTTAAAGAACAAAAATACAGCAAGGGCTTCTGATAACTTTTCAGCCAGCCACACATTACTTTAGCTAAAACCTCTCCAACTCTTGTCTGTAGAGAATTCAGTCCTGGCATTCAAGGCAGCACCTGTTCTCACAAAGCTGCCAGACCTGGGTGAACCCTCTTGTTTCATTCCCTGAGAAGAATGGTCCCAGCCTGTTGCTTTTACCTGAGCTGGTTGCTACTTCTGGAGATACTTCTTCATTATGCTCTCCACGTCATCGGCTTTGCTCCCCGTCTCTGGCTCTCTGTGCTCGGAGGACGTTTGCTCACCACCATCACCAGCTAGTCGTGGGACTCTCGGTCGACTCTTAATGCTGTCGGCGCTTTTGAAGGACACGATGGAGCTGGAGGACGAAGATGAGTCAGACAGGTGAGCAGGGTCCTCCTTGGGCTCTGGGCTCTTTTTCAAAATAGTCTTGATCCCTGAGAGGAGGGAACGGTCAGTATCTTCCATCTCAAAGTGAGCACTTGAATGCCTCAAACTGTCCTGCCCATCTTTGGCCGCTCTGGCCAAGGACGTAGGTGTCTCAGGCTTCCGGATGGCTGGAAGGAAGTCATCAAAGTCCACTTTGGTCTTGCGTTCGTAGTTGAGGCTGGGGAGCTTCCAGGTGAAGGGGTCACTGCCTAGAGGCTCCTCCATCAGGTGGGCAAATTGGCGGTTCTGGAAGACAAGTGGTTCCTTTCCCAGGTCTGGACAGCCTGCGTCGTCCACTGAGGACTCCAGACACCGCCTCCTAGGACGCAGCGTGGGCGATGAGAGTGTGTCCCTGGGTGCACTCGGGGAGCTCAGTTTTCTCCCCAAGTTTGGTGTGGATTCTAAGAGGGACTCGCAGGAACTGAACCGGGTCTTTGGCTTCTCAGGTAGCAGGGCTGTGCCCCCAACTCCATCTGAAGAGATGCATTTCAGACTGGTGGATCGGGGGAGGGATCCTGAGGCCCCTTCCATTTCCACGGGTGATTTTGTCCCATACCTCAGTGAGAGGTCTCCCTCGTCACTGCTGGCCCTGCCCCTCATTAGCGTGGAAGCCCCCGTGGTCTGGTAAATGGGAAGGGTGGGCCAGTCCTCCAGCCCCAGCATGGACCCCTGGCCTCTCTGGGCTCTTTTTCTCCGGAGACCTATCACAAACTCCGAGAGGGCCGCTGAAGGACTGGGCAGCTTTCCTCCCCTCGACAGCGGGGATGTATCTCTACTGTGAGACTCCTTGGAGGAAGATGGAGCTTCTAATCTCTCCATGGACTTTCTCTCAACACCGAACCCTTCACCATCCCCAAAATGACAGTACTTTTTCTGGCGGACCGAGTGGGGAGAGACAGACTTGTCCCCGGAGATCGTGCTACGGGCAGCCTGGGCTCTGCGCAGTGCAGATACTGGCTGGGTGGTCTCAGCATCCCCGGCCTCTTCGTTCATTCTGTGCCAGAAGAAAAATGCAGTCAGTGGAAATTGTGCAATTCATACAATTTGTGCAATTGGTGGGAGAGCCACTAAGCATAGGCACTAATATTATTTTTCTTTGGAAATACCATTCCTACCACACTCTCAAATGAACCATATGATTTAATGTGCAAATTCAAGCCATGTAAATGATTTCTTGTTGCTTTCTGAAATGCAATTTCTGTCTATAATTAAACCCAGCTAAGTACATTTGAGGAGATTAAAACTGTAGCGAGGAAGGATGAATTAGATTTATGAGGCATCATATCTGACAGGATAGGACCCATCATCCCAAAGCCTACTGTGAAATAAGTAATTTGCTTCCTTCAAGACTAGAAGGGGGCACACAGGGGCTATTTATTTATTTAGGGCTCAGCCTGGAGGACCGTCCCACCAAGTGGGGTTTCCTGGAATCAAATACCCAAACGCGCATAGCCGTGGGACGCTGTACAATATCCCCAGTTGTTCATGTGGCAGGGTTTCTAGGGGTAGGTAAAATCGACCTTCACCCCCCAGGAGAAAAGATTCACATGAAACCAACTTGAAACCAAGACTATACACCAGCGGACAGACGGTTGCTATTCTGGGATTACACCAGACATGGCTTTAATGCAGAAGGAGTTGGCTGCAGCAGCTCCAAAAACACTCAGCCTGGAAAAAGCAGGAGCCTCACGGTGGGGCAAAATTACAGAGTATAAAATAAAGGGCTCATTTAAAAGGAGGGAGACTGGAGTAGGTCCATCCTTCCTTTCATAAATACAATCTATTTGTCTTCCCTTCAGGAGAAATGACCGCCTTCCCGCCCACTAGCAAAGTTATAATTTATACAAAAGCAAAAGAGGCACCAAATGTCAGAATGTTGGCGTTGCAGACAAAGGCCCAGGCTCCACCCTGAACAGAGGCGGAGGCCAATGCAGACGCAGGTTTCCAATCGTGAGACGGATCCACACCTCTGAGTGCTTGTGTTGCTCCAGCTGTAAGTCTGGACGATTGCGGGATTCAGATTTCTGCACACCAGGGTGGTCAGGATTCTGCCACAAGACTTCCTGCTCACTTAGTTGGAAACTGCTACCTTTACCCATGAACACAAGGGACAGTTTAGGAGAAAAAGAACTGAGCACAATGCCCCCAGTGGCTTTGAGTCTGGAGAGGAAGCCGAGCCGCCGAAGGTCCCTAGAGGAAGGCCTCAGAAAGAAGGGGAGGGGTCAGGGCCTTTTCCAGGGAGGTGGGTGGGGAATGCAACAGCCTGGACCTGGTGCCCTCCCAAACCTCTATGTTGAAACCTAATCCCCAGTGTGACGGTGTTAGGAGGTGAGGCCTTTGGGGAAGTGATTAGGTCATGAGAGTAAGGCCCATGTGGAAGACCCCAGAGGCCTTCCCTTCCCCCTTCCACCTTGTGAGTACAGTGTGAGAAGATGGCCTTCTCTGACCTGCCACCAAATACACCGGGACCTGGACCTCGGACTTCTCAGCCCCTAGAACTGTGAGAAACAAATTTCTGCTGTTTATAAGCTTCCCAGACTACGGTATTTTTGCTATAGCAGCCAGAACAGACTAAGGCAGGCACCTAAACAGGCCTTCCGGAGCTCCTGAGGACACAGCTTCAACATCCCACAAGCCTGCCTCCTCTGGGGCTGGCAGGATGACACCCACAGGGGCTGGGATCATCTGCCTCTCCTTATTCGCCATGTCAGATGGGTGGGGGAGAATTGACACTGTGATCTAGGGATAGCGGAGAGGACGGGGCTCAAGCTGCTGCTACAGGAGAGCTGCTGCCTCTCTTTCTCTCCTCACCATTGCCTGTCCTCCTCCTGGGCTCCCCCCACCCCATCCCCCTGTGTTCAGCTACACTGGCTTCCTGGGACAGGCCAAGACCCCCCTGCTTCCTGGTTTGCACTTGCTGTTCCCATTTTCTAAAGTACACCTTCCAATGCCCCACCCTGGTCACAGTGCCGACCTCATGGGGTAGTTAGGAGCATGAAAGAAAAGCCCTTGGTACTGTGTCTGGCACCTAATCTTCCAGTGGCAGTTGATGGTTATGTTAAACAATTAATGACTGATAATGAATGGCTGTCCATGATTAGCCATTAGCAATGAAGGGTGGCCAGGCACCGTGGCTCATGCCTGTAATCCTAGCACTCTAGGAGGCCGAGGAAGGTAGGCTGCTTCACCTCATGAGCTCGAGGCCAGCCTGAGTAAGAGTGAGACTCCATCTCCACTGAAAATAGAAAAACTAGCCAGGTGGTATGGTGAGAGCCTATAGATCCAGCTGCTAGGAGGCTGAGGCAGGAGGATCACTTAAGCCCAGGAGTCTGAGGTCGCTGTGAGCTATGATGCCATAGCACTCTCGCTTGAGTGACAGAGTGAGATTCTGTCTCATACACACACACACAAAAACAAAGAAGTGTGATCATTATCACTACTCCTAATCTCTGGATCTTCAGAGCCCAACCATTTCCTTCCTTGGGACTCAGTGGAAGCCTCAGTTGAAGTTCAAAGAGGGATGCTCAGAAGAACGAATGGGCAGGTGACCTTGAATCTTGTCATTTGTAAGAGGAAGGGTTGGCTCCCAGCACTGGACACAGGCTGGGAGAGGAAACAGAGGCTGCTTTATGATGACCTGAGGGTGTGTTTGTCAACATTATTGCTTCAGAATAGGCATTCACATAGGTCTCTACTTTCTTTTTTTCTTTTTTTTCCATTTTAATAAACAGCTTGGAGCTGCCAGGGGCAGTGGGCTGCTGCAGAGCTGACAAAAGTCATTTCCGTTCTGTCCTGGCCCTAGAAGGAGGTGGGTGTGACGAATGTGTCCTAGACACGTGAGGGTGGCAGCGTCGGAGGCTCCTGTCACCAAAGCTTAGAACTCTGCTGTCTTGTCCTGTTCCCCCAGGCTCCCACCACCACCAATGGTTACAATTACCGGGGCAGAGCAAGAAGAGAGAGAGGGAAGATAGGAGCAAGAGGAGGAGGAGGGAAGATGAGCTAAGGACACAGAAAAGAAGGCATGAAAGGAGGAGGTAAGAAACTCACAGAACAGATGCCTGGCCTGGCAGGACCCTGCTGAGTGTTCTCTCTTTCTCCCTCCTTCCCTCCTTTCCCTTTCTCTTTCTTTCTCTTCCTCCCTCCCTCTCTTCCTCCTTTCTCTCTCTCTCTCTCTCCCCCCCTTCCTCCCTTCCTTTCTTCCTCCTTTCCTCCTTTCTTTCCTTTCTTTCTTTCTCTCTCTTTCTTTCTTTTGTTAGTTTTGAGACAAAGTCTCACTCTGTCACCCAGGCTAAGTGCCACGGCAGGAGCCTAACTCACCGCAACCCCAGATTCCTGGGTTCAAGCAATCATCCTGCCTCAGTCCCCTGAGTAGCTGGGACTAGTATCCACCATAATACCTCGGTAATTTCTCTATTTTTTGTAGAGACAGGGGTCTGGTTCTTGCCCAGGCAGGCTGATCCTACTGCCTCTGCTTCCGAGAGTGCTGGGATTACACAGGCATGAGCCACCACGTCCAGCCCTGACCGTCATTTCTGCATCTCTTGAGTTAATACTGAGCCCAGCACCCAGCAGGTACTCAGAAAATGTTGTAGGATTCAATCTACATAGACAAGGAAGAGGCAGGAAGAGGAAAGTGGAGCGAGGGCCCTCCCCCTGCCCGCAGCCTGGATCTGCCACACCTGTGGAAGGCACTGCACCCCCAAGGGCCTGCTGAGCCTATGCCCTCTCCACCTGGACAGCAGCATTCTCAGCCACCCTGCAGGGTCCCAGGGCTCTAGCTGCTTCTCCACGGGCCCCAGCCTGGCTCACTTACATGGCAAAGTTGAAGAAAGGGGAGCCTCAGCAGGGCTGGCAGAGCCCCTGCAGTGCGTCCCTCTCTCCCTCCTGCCTTTGCTTCAGTTCCCTTCCTCCTGCTCCTCTGGACGCCTCCTGCCTCTTCCTCAGCCACCTCCCCAGCCCATTCCCCTTGCTCCTCTCTTGCGGGTCCTGCTTCCTCTAGTCCTCCCTCTGTCCTTCTTGCCTCGTCTCTTTGCCCTGTCTCCACTTTCCTCTTTCTGCCTCTTCCTTGTCTATGTAGATTGAATCCTACAGCATTTTCTGACTTCGTGAACTTAATTGTCTGACCTCGTATATTTGAAAATCTTAATACTTGTTGGATTCTTTCTTTTTTTTTTTTAAATAACCTTGACGTCGAGGGCAGATGTTCAAGAATAAACAATTCCCATGTATGAGCCTGTTCTGAGTAGCTCCCAAAGGGAAGTGGAGATTGAAGTTGTTGGTCCAGTCTCAGAACAGGGCAGCTACGAGACGGTCGTCCTGCCTGCCAGGTTATCTTGGGATGTGCTTCCATCATTTTATCTCTGCTGCTGGCCACACTGGCAGATGCTTCTTGACTAGTGGTTAAAGAATGAAGAAAGCACCTTCTGTACACATATTTGGTTTCCATCAAGTCAGTATCATCACCCCATCTCACAGATAAGGAAACTGAGGCTGACTGGTGAGAATCCATTTGCTCAGGGTCCTACTGGGAAGAGGCAGGGCCTGGATTTGAGCCCACATTGGCAAGATCTGAAGCTAGTTCTTTCTCCTTGTCCTACATCATGAACCCACCAGGCAGAAGGCTGAGAGGAAACCGCAGTGCATTGATCTTACATCTACACATACATGTAGATGTATGTGGATTTTTCAAAATCCACTGAGACATAATGTGCAAAAAATGTGAGGTCCACGTCAGCGTCTATGGAGAAGCTGTATTCACTGGCGTTAGATGTAATCACACAGCAAAAGCACAGAATCCCAGGTCTGAGACTGGTTAGAACCTGGGCCAATTGTAGCTGCAGGAAACTCAATGCAGATTTAATGACACCATGAATCATCCCCAGAGGCTTGTTGTCACCCCCATTTGTCATCCACACCCTGAAATTAAAGAGGAAATTAAAAACATATTGATGTTCTTTAATACTGGTGAGGCCTAGGATGGGAAACTAGATGTCT